TGGCCCACATGCAACCATTGATACCCAAGCAGGATCACCACACAGGGATAATGTGTTGATTTCTGTTTGTGCTTTCTAAGTAGGAAGTTTGCCATGTGTAAAGCAGCCTTCACTCACATACAACAAGATAAGAACAATTTACCTAGTCACATCTGAACTGACTGTTGTTTGTTACTAAGGTACCTTTCCTGGGACTCTCTCAAGCGACTTCAGAAGATGGACTGGCACTACTGGACCAAAGCAAGGAGAAAGCACTGGTTCAGCTTTGATTCCTTCATCCAGTGCTTGGTTCTCTCACATTTTCATTTTATTACATGGTTATTTCCTGCCAAGACTTATCTTCTTTCTAGGAAACTTCTCGTCTCTCTTAATCTTGGCTTGCTGCCTAGTCCAGTAACTATTGGTAACAGTTACCCGCTGCCTTCCCAAAATCCTGAATTACTTGAGGACTCCCTTCAAGTATCTACTCCTCACCGACATGAATCTGCCAATATTCTGAAATTCCCATGGACAGCTCCCCTCTCCCACGCAGGGCAGGCAGCAGGGGGAGAAAGAGGGCCTTCTCAGTGGTGCCCCACTTGCCAAACGCTCCCCCAAGAAGTTTGCCTAGTGCCTACTCCAATATCATTTCAGTGCCAGGCAAAGTCTTTATCCTGCGTCCTGTATCCACTGTTGCATTGATCAGTATTCTATCTGTAAGAAACCCCAGAAAATGTTTTTTATTGAATGGTAGCACAGAAATAGGAAGAGACATGATAAAGTCAGACTGCCCAGTTCCCTACTACCCTCACCTTCCTCCACCGTTTCCATGATCCTATTGTCCAGTGTGACTAGTTAATGCTCTTCAGACAGAATGTAAGCTAGACCTTAAAACTATATTTAACTTTTTAAAATGATAAAAGTATCTTTAGCATAGCTCTTCAGAAGCTAACAACAGCTACAAGTAGGGAAATCAAGTGTCACAGGAGAGTGATAACAAAACTCACATTTTCCCAAAATTTATCTTGATCCACAAACAGTCAAAGAAACCAGGGCACCATCACTCTGGACAGTCTAAAAATCATATAAATCCTTGGGGGAAGCATGAAGCAACTCATGACTTTATGCAAATTAAATGTATGGGGGCAACACTGTTATTCTTAAAGCAAGGAAACTATGCAATAACTCATAAGTGCTACTGAGTGCCAGTTGCTAAGCAGCAGGAGAAGGTCATCTCCTTCACATGTCCTGCTTGCAAGCTTCCCCAAAGCATCTAAATGACCAATGTGAGGAACAGCATGGTAGACTAGGTGGACCTCTGGTCTGATGCAGCAGGACCCTGCTTAATCCAACCCTTAAGTTGCATTAAGAACTATGCATAGTATGAGGGAGTAGAGAAGAAAATAGGTTGCTCCCTCATAATAATAGAATCTAGCATCAACCGTGAAAATAACGTAGTGATGGCTACCAATTTTAACCATTTTAAAAGGAGACTGGACAAATTTATGGTGGAGAAAGCTATCAGTGGTCCTGATGGCTATATGCTGCCTCCAGTTATCAGAAGCACTATGTCTGTGTACACCATTTGCTGGAGAAAACGGGTGGAAAAGTGCTGGTGCACTTGTGCTCTGCTTGTGAGCATTCCATAGGCATATGGTTTCACAAAGCAGAATGCACCTATGGTCTGATCTAGCATGGCTTACGTTCTTAGGTAACTTGAAAATTAAATAATGTATCCAAGGTGTACACAACCAACTCTAGTTAGTGTTCCTTGCTTGTTCTTACCAACCAAAATGCTCACCATATCCAGTATAATGGACCAAGCACTTCAGTGTATCTCATTGGCTGGAGGGAATATTTAAGTAGTTATGCCTTGGATGATTAAAAAAGCAAGCAAGCGAGCATGAATGGTGCAGTATGTTTAAATGGTCCACAGCAGTAACCTGGAGGAAACGGGTATCTGGTAAACCTTATTCGAATCCTACTGCTATATAGAACAGTCTAGATGTTTCACCACAGAAACCACCAAATCCACCCATACTGCTTAGTACAGTTTGCTGTGTACACTGGAGCCCTCTCATCTTGGGTCTCCTGTGCCACTTCATGTTATGGCTCCACTTCCACAGCAAGCTGCCTCCACATTCAGTTCCTCTGTGTTTCAATTCCCATGGTAACATCATCCTTAGGGCTCCCCCTCTGTACTTGAGGAACAGGAAATAGGTGCTTCTTGTGCATCAAGGAAAGAATGGGGGAGCACTAACCAACCTGACCCTGTTCAACACCAAACTACAAAGGAAGGATGGGAGACAGATGTGAATCCTACACCAAAAGTAGCACATCCAGTCAGCTGAATCTAAACTAGGACTGCATCAAAAGATTTTTTCTTTTTCCTCACCTAAGGGTTGGCCGCTTGGTGACCTCGAGGTGTGTTGTACTACAACTCCTCCCAGCTCCAATCACAGCCGATAGTTAGAGATTATGGTAACTGTGGTCCAAAGCATCTGCAGGGCATCAAACTGTTCATATCTGTCCTAACCCAAGTTAGCTGGGGATTATGAGAGTTGGGATTGAATACATCTGGACAATGCTAGCTTGGGGAAGACTGAGACAGAGCATCATTAAATGCTGGGTGAGTGTGCATGCCAACTATTTATGTATAGGGCACAACAATATCAACATTGCACAAATAATATTCAAACAGAAAGTCATTGGCACGGTGTACTATATGTTGTGACAGCTCTATCACTGTTCAAAACCAGGTAGAAAAAGACTGAAAATGCAGAACAGAACACACAAAAAAGAAGCACAAGAACAAAGGTCAGTCCTCCTTCCTGAATCCCACCTTCCCCAAGTGTTGTACTTCGCCACTGATCTATTTAAAGCTGCTGGGATCATAATGGGGCAAAAATTCAAGCTATCTTTGTTCCGCAGCTTAAAGAATATCCTGGTTTTATTTCAGTGGTGCAATTACTGTTAGGTTTTCAAAGTGTGCTCTGCTAAGGGGACATAAATCTGATTTTCTGCTGTTACATTTACTGGAATGTACAGTGAAAGATGTACCACAGAGGCTGATTTCATAGATCTACTCCTGTTGTCAAAGACGTGTAGCTTTTACATAAACACACAGAAAAGAACTACTGCAAGCCACACCAGTACCAGCTATGAGGAACCGCTGACTAAAGCACAACATTACGGCAACAGCAGCAGATTAGGAAGTTTCCTGTAGGAACTACTACAGGATTTCCAAGAACAATTACAAGAGATAATACATGACCTTTCATTTCAACAATCATCAGCCAGATCTTGCCTCTACTGAAGTTAATGGAAAAGCTTCTCCTGACATGAGATCCAAAATTTCTTCCGGTCTTTTCTGACAATTAATATGGAATTGCTTCCACAGAGACTCAAAATGCTTATAACACAATCTAGAGTAAAGCCAACTCCTTTGCCACAGTGTAGTAATCACAGTGGATCTAGCGTTCAGAGCACGAAGTTAAGCCGTTTCACTTAACCACACTTCTTCAATGTCTACACACATCACATGCTTCCAAGTATGTATATCGCACTCCCCTGAGAAGTTCTCTTTACAAGCACATCCATCCTTGTGATTTATCTTTACACATTCAAAAAAAGTGAATGGCTTGAATATAAAATACAGATACGGTTTTGCAAGGCAGAAAATTCCCACTTAAATTACTATTGCAACATTAAGCCAGGATCAAGGAGGAGGACCGGATTAGGCAGATGGTGCTCATTGATAACTTTGCAACCAAAGTCCTGCCCCTAAGAATCTCTTATGCTCTGACCATAATTTTGGAACTGCCTCCCATCACCACAAGGCATATGCATATAAGGCTAACCAGCTCACGGCGCTTTCAGCATTATCCCATCAATAATCCATGGATTAGAAAAACATAAGTGGACACTGATATCTCATGCCGTATCAGTTCCATAGTACAATCAGTACTATCAGTCCAATCCAGGTGTCAAGACAGCACCATGCTTAGCTTCATGCATCTAATGGGCCTTAATTTTTCAAATGAGAGGAGGAAAAATAATTTCCCTCAAATTATTAGGTAAAACAACCAAAGAATACAATATAGCTTGCAGGTTTGTTTGTTCCAGGGATGTCGCTTAATGAGGAAAAATGTGTTTACTGCAAGAATAGCAAGCTGTATCCCAACCTATTAAAGCAGAGCTTTCACCCAAGGGTGTGTCATGGGTGCTGGAGTGGGAGAAGGAGGAGGACAAACACCCAGGCTTGTTCTCCCAGTGCTGAGAGCCTCCTATGATAAGCTATTCTGGAGACTGTGTGCCCTCATCTCCATTGATGCGCCCTTCCCACTCCCCTGGGTTGTGTGACCTAAGAGCTAAAGAAGGCAAGGAGGAAAAAAGGAGTATTTAGAGTACTAATAAAGAAGGAAACACTTCAGCATGTTTTCTCTCTGTGCCACAGACACGCATAGTGTCTCCTTCACTGAAATGCTATTTAATGTGGAGAAAGAGGCACCACTTCAAGAAGCGATCTACACAGAGGAGCTAAAAAATCCACGCCTACATACTCAGTATACGCTAAATGCAAACCTGCCCTCATACATATCTATTATCCACAGATGAATGCCCCCGCCTGACCCGAAATGGGGCTTTAATCAAAGGAAGGCACCATGGCTCGAAGATGTATCGAGAAGGATACACCTCGCCGTCAAGAGGATCAAGTGGAGACCTTACTCCAAAACGACACTGCTAAAACACACAAACACACCCCACCACCATTCACACAACTGCAATGCAGCTTTTAGTACCCCAGTAGTGATGCCCCCACCACACCACCCCGACCTCTCCTCTGCACGAGAGGGGCTCGCTCCAGCGATCCCAGTGTTTTCACAATGAGAGATTACCGATGCATCGTAAGATTTATAACAATGAAGAGGCCAAAGAGGCTGCGGGGGGGGGAGCGGTGGAGGAGGGGAAGGGATCAGGAGAAAGTAAACCAGGAAAAAAGAGGTATAGCGTTCACGCACCTTTTACTTGAGTTTCATATTCCGCTATGATCTCTTTGTCTTTCTTGAACTTTGTTTGAGATGACATTTTCGGAAGGTCTACCAAGATCCCAACGATCTTTATTTTCGTTTCCTCTTTTAGAACGGGAGAAAAAGAAAAGAAGAAACGAAAAGAACAGCAGAAAGTGGTCCCCCTCCTTTTCCCGGCTTGATTTTCTCCGTGGGATCACAAGGAGGCAGTTTTGCAGTTTTTCTCCGCTTCAGTTTGCGGCAGAGGAGACAGGAGAGCTTTTCCCTTGGCCAGAGGACTCCCCGGCATTTGCCTTCTCGACCGGCGAGCGCGGGCGGCTGCAGAAAAGGAGAACCTGGCGGAGGACGCGGACCGGAGATCCACTGCCCTTGTGGAACCAGCACGGCGAATGGAGGCGCAAGGAGGGTGTGTCACCTGCACCCAAGTAGCCTTCTGAGAGCGGCGGCACGTTGGGAGCGGGGGGGGGGGGGGGTGGCTTTTTTTTAAAGCCCAATAAATAAATGCAATAAATACAGCCAAGCGGGAGGAAGGAAAAACTACGGGGAAAAGGAGGAAAGAAAAACAACCCACACACGTAAGGCTCCTCCTTCCTTACTGTGCAGGCAAGCCCATGGCAAGGAAAAGCGGCATGGGAAGTCTCCGGCTGTAATCCAAGAGAAGGTCAGGTTGCCGGGGGGGCTTGTGCATTTCGCATCCCCCCTCCTTTTCCCCTCCTCCGCCGCCGCCGCCCCTTCTAAGTAGGCTCGCCGCTCCAAATGCAGAGCGGGAGGGGGGAAGAGAGAAGTTAGTTGGACCGCGGAACGTGCGTTGGCTCGGATCTGCAGCGCTTGTGCACGGAGCTGCTTTTGACTGCAGGCTTGAATTAAGTTCTCCCCCCCCGCGTCACGTCACGCACAGGCGAGGCCCCGCCCCGCACCGCACATTTTATAACAACTGACACATTGTAGCCTACAGGACGCTTTAACTCACTGCAAGAGGAAGGGGCACAATTCGGCGGCGGCGCGCACGGGCGGAAGGGAAGGTCTCTGGCACCCCTCCGGCGCTCTGCTAGGGCGCGCCCCGGGTCCTCTCTCTTCCCAGGGAGTCACATCTCCTGACTCAGGAGAAGTGGAGGAGCGGGTAAAACAGGGCCAGGGGCACATCGCCGTACGTTTCTTTTACCTGCTGGCCTCGATCCCGTTGCTGCGCCTTGAAGAGCGCGGCCAGCGAGTTTCGTGAAAAGTTCAGGGGAGGAGGGTTAAGTCGAAGCGCACGTTGTGCTGCGCGCAGGCTGCCGTAGGAGACCGGCGGCGGGGTGCGTGGCGGAGATCGTTGCTGCTTCTGCAACGTTATACCTGCAGATTCAGTGCGTGTTCGCTCAAGCGCCTCTCAGTCCAGTCGTGCTTGCTCCGGCCCTAAGTGTCCGCTGGGATTGCAACCCTAGACCGCTTTTCTGTATTTTGCACCCTTTTCGGGTCTTATTTTGATGACTCTACACAATCGCAACACGGTGCCGTCCTGCGTATGTCTCCTCAAAACGAAGCATAATGAACTGGAGAAAGGGTTGAATAAGATTACGACCGTAATGTTCAATCCTATGCCTGTCCAGGCAGGAAAGAGGCCTACAATTCCCAGCATGCTGGCTGGAGCATGCTGGGAGTTGTAGGCCTTTTTATGTACTCATTTATATACTGGAAACTGAAGTCTAGATATAACCCTGAAGGCAATATAATGAATCGGAGAGCAAAGCAACATTGGAATCAGGCTTAAGTGCAGTCCAGTCTCTGCTGGGACCGTACATGTTCTCAAAGATAAGTCGTGTGTTCCATGTTTGTGAACCAGGCAGTGTTTCATAAGACTTCTAGTGCTCGGGATTGCAGTCATGAAACCCAATTATTTCGGATAGGTGTGGCCTATTGATTTTTACATCAGGCCTTTAACTGGAAATAACTTCCCAATAATCTTAAAGTCAGTGTGTGCTGGTTTTAACACTCAGTCCAGGATGGTCTAAATGCAGTGATGCAAAGCTGGCCCTCCTGGTGCCCTATGTCCTCCCTAGGACTCCCCACAAGGTCTTGTCCCCCTTGTCCCTACTCCTTTTCCCCAGTCATCAATCTGTTGGTTTTTACTCACTTTTATTTCCTGCTGCCCTAACCTAAAAGATTAAAGTGTCTTTCCTAAGGCTTAGCTGCTGACCATAAGAGCTTTAAACTTGGGACCAGAATCTCTGACATCATGCCTCTCTCAGTTTGAATCTACCTGGGTTCTGTGATTTTCATCTGAGACCTTCCTCCTAGTGAGACCTTCACAGGAAATTGAAGGCAGCAGTGAGAGAGAATGCCTTCCCAGTGGTGCGCGCGCGCACACACACACACACCAACTTCAGAGTCACAACTGGTGCATTATTTTTCTGTGATGACTGAGAATTGGACGGAGGGTGCTCCAGCTTTGTGCCCCAGCTCCAACTTTGGAGAATATTTCCAATTTCAAAATTGCAGTCCCAAATAGTCGTATTTGGCCATTCAGACAGCAACTAGTAATCACAGGATTGTGTCCTTGGTTGTTTAAATTGCTTTAAATGTTATATATTGAAATGTTATACTGTATTTTATTTTATCTGTAGTTTATGCCATATTTTAACTATTATTGCATCTTTGTTTTATGCATTGCTTTGAACTGCCCAGAATGTTTAGTGTATTGGGCAATATAGAGATTAAATAAATAAAAGGCTATAATATGCTCTAGTATGGTCATCTGAGGCTTCACTCCCTTTGGTCTTTCCATCAGTAAAATGTATCTCAAAGTGAGTGTGCCCCTAAGGTTGAAATATTTTACCTACCCCTTGCCTAATGGATGCAAGTGTGATACATCTTGGAAGCCGTCCCGAGGCTATGTAGTAAGGGGACAGCATATAAAATCTTCAAATAAATAAGTTAAGTAGGCACCCGAAAAAGAAGCTCAAAGGTCTTCCCTGCCAACTGATTATTAGGATCAAATTCTTCATTATGAGCTGCTAAACAGCCATGTGGCCTAACCCTAAGCATGCTCTTTTAAAAATAAGGCCAGATCCAATATACTCAGAGTGCAATCCTATGGGTTAGTGTGTTATGTTATATTTATATCCTGCCTTTCTCCTGCAAGGCAACCAAGAAGGCTTATATAATCCTCCCTTTCCTTCTCTGTATTTTACCTTCACAACAACACTAAGGGGTAAGGAAGGTGATTAAGTGAGTGCCCAATTATCACCCAATGAGCTTCATGTGAAGAGTCAGAAACATTAACCCAAATTTCCTGGTCCCAGTTCAACATGCAACCACTATGCCATGACAGAGATATTCCACAATTTAATGTTACATTATGGCATAAGCTTTCATGAAGTAGAGTGTGTTCCAGTTCTCATAAGGTTATGCCAAAGTAAGGATGCGGTTCTGTGGGTTCTGCCCTTCATGCTCTTAAGTCTCTGACCCTGAAGGTTTATGCAGAGTGCGGAGAGCACTATTCCCCTCTGCTTCCACTCTGTATTTTGCTTCATGGCCCTTTTGCCCATCTAGCCAAGTCACTGGGGAGAGTCTGCAGTCTCCACCCTCTCCCCATTGGAGCATCCCTGAGGCCAAGTTCCTGACCTTAGAGAGGCAGCAAGCACATCAGCTGGGCTTGGATTCCCAGCGTTGAGGTCCCCAGTCTGTCCCCAGTCTGGGAGCTGAGAATCCAAACTATTCTATGGACCCTCAGATGATGCCTCAAGGCTATAGGATTACCTCCTTAGTTTACTAACTGGTATGCATTGGAGTACAACCTTAATTAGTTGTTCCAGCTATCCTTAAGCAACTTTTTCCTGTACTATTCCTACTTAGCATTTATATATTTACGGTGTGAGAACAAGTGAGATAAAAAGTATAAAAGTACTACTCAATAATACTTAATACTCAAAAGTAGTGTAGAAAGCATAAATCATAATGATCCATTATAATGAAATATTTACATGCCCAATGAAATGGATGTGTTCATTTGATTTATGTGTTTGTGTACACAACTACCTCTGAATTGAACCCAATATATGAAATACATTCCCAGAAAGCATATGTGCATGCGTGCTTTTTTAAAGCTACCATTTTATTGTATCTATTTGCATTTGTGGTCATTTTGTGTTGTGATACTATTCTCCCCATTGAACCCCCTGCCTCATGTTAATGTACAAGCATGGTAAATATTAAACTACAATAGCGCAAGACAGTTATAATGCTTCATAAAAACTAAGCCACAGATGAAAAGTCATAGCAACTGTGAAAGGTGACCTAGAAGTGGAATGGAATTATGTTCACAATTTGGAGTTACACACCTTGTGTCATTATATCCTGTTGCATTTTAGTACAGTAGCCCCCTCCCCCATCTGCATGGATCGGTTCCAAAGCCCCCCAGTGAATGCGTGAAACCATGGATAATAATGAACAGTCTGTTATATATACACTACATCCTATGTACATTTATGTTTTCCTAATTTTGTTCATTCTTAAATCAGCATATGATTTTTTTTCCTTCCCTATTCAATCAAGAATCTTCCCTTTCTGGAAGCACTTTACGACTTCCTCTGGCATTTTACAGATGTCTCTTTTGGGCAGAGGTCAGCCATGGTTAACTGAAAGCACAGTAACTTTGCCAGCGGATACAGGGGTCCTGCTGTATATAAAAATTGTGGGAAGTGACCTTGCAACAACTATTCGTTGGTAGCAATTCACCCTTCTGTAGGAGTATCGATCATCATTGGATTACCCTGTCCCTAAGGTGTAATCAATACAAGTTTAGACAGAAAGAAGGCCTGCGGCTCTCAGTGTTCCCCAACCAGGCTGAGAGTTATAGGAATTTTTTCTGTCTAAACTTGCGTAGGATTGTGCCCTTAGTGAACTTCCCTCTGCTTGACTTCAAATCAGCTTCATAATTATGAGCTTTCTTAGGAAGAGTTTGGAAAAGGACTTGTTTTCTGGAAATTCTCTTCCAGCTTGTAATGTTGATGCATGTACAGATCTTACCATATTTTTCCCTGGGAGCCATACTTCTCAGCACCTGCCATGACAGAGAAAAGCTTGGAAATTGAACAGCCACACATACACACATACACAAAACAATCCCTCAGAACCTTATCCAGGAATTAAAAAATTGACAGAACAGACACAAATGCAGAACATACTCAGCAAACAAAAAGCTAAGTGATCAGTCTCCAAATTCTGAGGCTTCTGTTCATCCAAAGCAGAGCGGGGGGTGGGGGGGGGGAGAAAATCTTTGCCTCCCACTCTACATTATTGCTAGTTGGCTATTTTCAGCAGTCCACCAAAGGGGAGAGAAGTAGGTTACGTCGTATCCTGACCACTCCAGCCTCCTCCTCTCTTCACCTCCAAATGCCCCTTTTAAACCCTTTCCAAGGTAACTTTCCCAAA